TTTTTTAACACCCGATATTGAATTTGTTATTCCGGCGAACTGGTTACGATGTTTGAAAAAACTTGGGCAGCACTGCTGTTTTCGTCCATATCAAATTACATTTGCCAGTTGATAAAGTAAAACGAAAAATGGAAGACGGCTAAATCATAAATACTTGAACCTAATTATGGAAAATATGCCTGAACAACAAAGAAAGCTAACTGAAAACCTTATCTTACAAACTATATGGCTATTTTTAGTTTCGAAAACTTCTTTTTGCACTTTTTTCTTCATCCTCAATGAACTCCAGGCCTAAAATATGCCTACCCATTTTGGTTTTTATTTTTTCTCAAACTAACAACACAAAATCAAAAAAGCTGATATTTTTGTTACCTCCTATTTCGCTGGTAATAAAAGTTACAGTGTGACAGTGAACTCACAACACGAATTAGTAATAAGATTTACTGTATGGAATCAACAGAATAGGCATATAAATAGTAAATCCAAAAAAAAAAAAAATTAAACTAAAGATAAGAAATCAGATGCAGCGCAAAACTTTGGATTCACCATTTCTTTTTTTCAGCTGAGCCTTTTTTGAAATGTCTCTTTCCACGTTTTCCAATTATTTCATATTCTGTAGGTTTAGACACGGAAATACTTAATTATTTCTCATCAGCAGCAGCTTCTGTTTCTGTTTTCTGAATATTTTTATTCTGGCAATTTTTTTACAAATACAAAGCGGGAAATTATCGCTTTGTAACCGCTGAAGCGATTTTCTGTCGAGCTCCTTCCCCAATTTGTGGTGTGCGTCGAACCGGGACTCGAACCCTGGTCTTCAGAATAGCTGTAAGAAAAGAATGAATCAATGAATTTATATAAAAGCTGGAGTTGAAATAAAAATAAGTGCTAAAAAACACTCGAAAAGCCTTTCGTGACAGTAGGCAGTGACGGTAAGTGTACCAGGAGTAGTAGTTGTAGTAGTGCCCTGATTCAACAACAGAATTAATTTCTTCACTTTGGAAAAACTGCCAATGAATAAAAATAGTAATTTTGATAACTGATAATAGTACATAAAAGCCTAAATAAAAACATGCCCCCGTTGCTATTATTTACTTATGTACATATGTAAAAACTTGTACACATTGTCAGTAAAATCAAAAGTCAATGGAATTTAATTCAGCAATTCTTACATCTACCTATGCATGTACATGTATGTTTCGAAAATTCTAAGTATGTCTCATATGTGATATTGAATTATTAATTATTTAGTTTTTTAATAATTGCATTTCAAGTTGTCTTTTTCGACCGTATACATACATACATATGTATCTCGTTTCTATTTCTTTTCTCGCATTGACATGAGAATGGCTAGTAATTAACAGTTAATTATATATAGTTATGACTTGAGGTCCAGTGCTCTATTAATTATCCGTAATTATCGTAAATTTCTGTTGGTGGAATGTAACACACACATACACACCGTACATGTAAATATGTATATATTGGATATGTTATAACTGTTTAATAGATTTTCAATCGAAGAAATCCTCCTGACTTTCCGTACCGACTGTAACTAGAAAAAATAATTTCAAATCTAAATCTTACTTATAATAATATTTTTAATTTTAGTTGTAATTTCAATGGAAATTTTAGATATAATTATAATTTTAATTAGATTTTAGTTTTAACTTTATCTTTTTTAATATTAATTTTAATTTTAATTTTAATTTTAATTTTAATTTTAATTTTAATTTTAATTTTAATTTTAATTTTAATTTTAATTTTAATTTTAATTTTAATTTTAATTTTAATTTTAATTTTAATTTTAATTTTAATTTTAATTTTAATTTTAATTTTAATTTTATTTTTAATTTTAATTTTAATTTTAATTTTAATTTTAATTTTATTTTTAATTTTAATTTTAATTTTAATTTTAATTTAAATTTAATTTTTTCCGTAATGGATGCACGTCCATATGTACAGCGAGTTTGATTTTCAATAATTATACGTGAAGAAAAAATTATAACCCAAACAAAATGGATTAAAAGGTTATCGAAACTCGAACCTATTTGAGTTGAAATACTATTTCCTTTCATTAAAATGCAGTAAGGTGAAACAAATGTATCTCATTTCCATAAGGCTTACGATTTCCTTTCCACGAAGAAATTTATGCGCATTTCATTAAAGCTACTTTGCTCTTTGCTTTATTGGAGGGATTCCATCAATGTTTCGCCGAACGAATTTGATCATTTTTGTTTGTGCATGTATGAATGTAGTTTGAATAATGGGTTTGCACAGGTTTTAACCTTTTGTCCGAAAGCACTGGAGAGAACGACTAAACCGTGACGCGACTTAAGAGGAATCATGATTTGCATGATTTTATAATTTTTGTGTTTACTAGAACAGCAAAGCGGCTAAAGCTCTGGTAATCCATCAGCTGAGCTATTTAAACAAGGCACTATTGAAGAGCTGATGAGATGTATGCATCGGCTTCTTTTGTTTTGACCAATCATAAAACGGGGAATTGGCTTTCGACTTGGCTCCCAGGTCACTGTTGCCAGTCATAACTTCAAGGTCGTACATAAATTCATCTATCTAGGGTCCAGATAAAATCCAACACAGAATTAATCTTACCAAAGAAACTACTTCAGTCTGAGAAGGCAATTGAAAAATAAAATCCTCTCTTTATGAACAAAAACTAAGCCCTACAAGTCGCTTATCGTTACCATCCTACTATATGACAACATGCGATAAAACGTCCTTGAGAGTCTTGTATAGACAAGTATTTCATCGATTTATGTTCCTTTGCGCGAATACCGCAGACAAAGGAACGATGAGCTGTAGGAGTTACATCATCGGTCAGCATATGAAACAGAGGAAGAAAAAGTCCTCCACTACGTTGGAAGGATCAGGAGAAGAGATAAATGGTTTAACTTAATATTTGCAGCTGTATATATAAATATTGTAAGGAGGGAGATAAGTAAAGAAAAAGTTGATGTAAACCATTTCCAAGTCCGCTTAAACACACACATGAGTTTCAACAAAGCGGTACAGACGTTTGAAAGGAGTAAATAAGCAGATTTCGAAAAGATCAAACCCTAGCGAACTTCCTGGAGTCGATCCTGTCTGTATATATATTAGATTAGCCCCACAAAAATTAGTCTAAAGGCGTTAGATCGCACGATCTAGGCTGCCACTGAAACTGAAGATGTTTGACAGTAATACAAAGCACGAAACGTGCGTCAGCTGTTTGAACCGGTGTTGCCAAAGAGATAATAGCTAAAAAAATCACCCTTTAGAAGTGTCGGTTCTGCAGATAGTAATGAATGAATTAACTCCTTTGTATTTATTTATTTTATTGGGAGCGGCCTTCTAGTTTTAGAGAGCAGACCGTGGTGTCACACAAAAGCATTTGAGATATCAAGAAAAACCCCTCCTTTGGTCGAAAGCGTTTCCAAATATTAAGAAACATCTTATGTATGCAGGTCCAGTTTCAGCTAAGTTTTTTACCTGCTGTTAGCTGAGTGATATTCTCTGGTTGTAGTGAATGCCTTGCCACAATTCCGAAATTGATTCATGATGTTTAACTGCTTTATTTGAAGTAGGCATCCTGTGTTCGTAGTTGTGTAACCTTCTCTATTGATTGAAATGCCTACGTACGCACGTACGGTTCGATTATGCCACAACCTTCACATTATTATATAATTATACAATATTCCGTTAAATTTAGTTTGATACGGGATTGTCCATAAATCACGTGGCCATATTATAGACTTACCGGAACTCCTCCCTTCCCTCATGTTGCCTAACGGGGCTATTGCTTTAATCCATCTCTTTCCTGCCCGATGCAGCACGTTTTAACTTCACTCTTCTTTTTGTTTTTGGTTGTTTTGTCGTGTTTTATTTATTTATGTAATTAACTATTTTCTAAAATATCATCCGACCTACGACTCCCGACTTTTGAATTTCAATATTATTTATAAAACATTGATTTTTTTTGCATTCCTATTGATCGGCCCGTTTAACAGGTGATCGTTTATGAGCGAATATCTTAATAAGAGTGTAAGAGAAGTTTTGTTGACACACTAATGACGAAGCCCAAAATAGTGAAAATTTAGTGATGGTCCGTACCGCTCATATTTTCCTTTCATTCCATTATGTACCCAAACATGTATGATAAAGCTTTACATAAGAAAATACTTCCAATATTTTTTTGGTTTAATTAAGAATAATCAAAATGTAGATGTAAAGTGAATATACCCGCAGAATAAAATTTGCATGACGGCTTAAAGATAATAAAAATTTCGTGACATCACTTCACTCACTAGTCATGCGAGAACTGAAGCTTTGGATTTTCGAGCACTCAAAAAAATATTGGCTGAGTGCATTCGCTACGTGCGTTCAATACGTTCCGTAGAAATTAGAATAGAGTTCTATCTCGGAGTATCAAATATTGGTACAAGTACAAGTATGCATAACCAATTTGTTTTTGAAAATTAACGTAAGAGGAACTAGCTTTTCCCTCCCAAAATTTTTTTATTCTCTCAACTTGCAAGGAACAATTCCCTTGTGTGCCTGATAAGTTCATATGCCTTGCTGTTTCTCTCAACAAGTATTTCTGTGTTGCCAGAGATCCGAGTGAGAAACAGTCTGTTGTGTTGCCAAGCATAGTAGTCGCTTCTTACCTGTCGGCGAATTTAAATATAACCTTGTTTGTGAGTCCAGCTACAATGTAATCTGTAGTCTCAAAGGGTGGATTGATTTTTCCACCAACTCTTCCGATATTATACTTTGATCTAGTTTACCATTATCTTGAGCGCTTTGCTAATGATGATCAGCTCGGATTTTTGTCGCTTTGTTTAGCCAGAATAATATCAGACCTATCTTTTATACTAAAGGAGATAAGGACTCACTTTAACAAAGGGACAATTTATTCAAAGTCATTATTTATAAAGTAAATTATTTTGACATATACATTTTATTGTTTTAAAAATTATAATTTTGTTTAAATGCATTTCCAGATCATTGGAACAAAGCAGCTGCTTGTACGTCCTGATGGCAGCTTTACAAAAGATCGTACGGTCTCTGGTTCGTCAGATGCGTCTGTTGCAGCTGGGGCATCATCTCCGCCGCTCTCATTACAGCACGCTGATGCTATTAACAATAACAATTCTAGCGTTAGTAATTCAAATGCAATTGGGAAAGCTGCGTTCAACAATTCAAATGCAACTACTGCTCTCCTGAGCAACACCAACCACAGCGCGATTACAAATGGATCGACAACGACCAGCACCACCTTAGCGGCAAGCACAATTATTGCTACATCGAATGTGTCTGTAACAACAATTCCAGAGACAATTGAGTTACCTTTAGGCATTGCGCAGTCTGCGGGGAAGCCTCTTCAAGAGGCCATTGACGAGGTGAGCAAATGAGAAGTTTGTCATTTTAACAATTTTGACATTTCTTATGAAATAATCATGCATAAGGTGCCCCCTTAGAGAAAGGATTTGAGGTAACTTGGTTTAATAAGTCAAATCTCACTTTGATATATCAAAACTCAGTATCTATAATTAAACTTTTGCAAGTTTTATGTAGTTGGAATATTTAACACAAAATTTTAATTAAAAAATATGTCATAATTTTTGCTTTATTAGGTGAAATTTTAATTCCATCTATTGGGTTGCCCAAAAAGTAATTGCGGATTTTTTTAAAGAAAGTAAATGCATTTTTAATAAAACTTAGAATGAACTTTAATCAAATATATAATTGCCATTTTGTTCGATAACCTTTTGCCATCTTCCTGGCAAATTTAGTATTCCACGCTCATAGAACTTCTGGCCGTTATCTGCAAAAAACTGAACCAAGTTCGATTTTATAGCCTCATCATTGCCGAAAGTTTTACTATTTAAGGAGTTCTGCAAAAATCGAAATAAATGGTAGTCTGATGGTGCAAGGTCAGGGCTACATGGTGGATGCATCAAAAGTTCCCAGCCAAGCTCACTCAGTTTTTGGCGAGTGACCAAAGCGTTGTCCTGGTGGAATATGACACCTTTACGATTGACCAATTCTGGTCGCTTGTCCTTGATGGCTGTATTCAATTTGTCCAATTGTTGACAGTAAACATCCGAATTAATCGTTTGGTTCCTTGGAAGCAGCTCAAAATATACGACACCCTTCCAATCCCACCAAACAGACAGCATAACCTTCTTTTGGTGGATATCAGCCTTTGAAGTGGTTTGAGCTGGTTCACCATGCTTGGACCATGATCGTTTTCGACTAACGTTGTTGTAAACAATCCATTTTTCATCTCAAGCAAGCTAAAAGTAACAGCTGATAACTGACAGAAGAAAGAATGCAATTACAGAGTCACAAGCCGTTGAAAAAATTTGTCAACGCCGACTATATATAAAATCCGCAATTACTTTTTGGGCAACCCAATATTTTGCACGTACGCATTTCATCCTTTTTAATCTTGATTAAGTTTCAAAATAGCGAAAAGTCTAAACTCGTTAGGATTACTTGCATTTTTCGACTTAAAAATATTATTGTTTATATTATTTATAGCAAATTTGTATTGTTAATCAAATAATGATACCAGGCAGTTTTACACAAAACTTGAAATTACCGTTTGCTTACTTTCAATAAATCAAAGATTGGAATCTTATCACAATTTTCGATTAGATTTAACAAATATGAGTACAAAGAAATTCGCCAAAAATATGAACTCCAGAAAAATCAAACCATTATATCGTCATTTCTTTTAATGGTATTACTTTGGGAGATAAAACGACTGAATAATCAATAATCGAGAGAAGTACGTTATTGCCAACAAAGGGAGAGAGTAAGAAGAAAGTTGTTATGAATTACGGGATTTAAATAAATATATTAAATTATGAGCGCGGTAAATAGTGAAGAAATCGTTGACATGGGCCAATTCATCTTGCTTCAAAAGTTGGTTAGACTAAAATTAATATTTTTCTGCGACGATTTTTATGGATGCTAACAAATTAAGAAAATTTGAATTTACACTTCTTTGTTTAATTTGCGTGGGCCCAGCTTGCAGTTTTGCCTTTCGATTTGATCTCCCTAGTAAAGGTGCTTTCTCTGCTTCCACCCGCATACTCTAAATCGAGAATTTTTGAACTGTAATAAGAAATATAAAATTTAAGTGCTCTGGTTGTAGAGAAAAGTGGTATGCTCTAAATGAATGTAAGAGGCATAATCGGAAAATAAGTTTTTGTAGGTTTTTAAAATTTGTATCTAAATTTAAAAGTTTCCTAATACTTTAGTAGTTAGTAATGAATGCTATTTGTCGTGCAGGATGTGAAGCGCGGTATCAGTAGACTTACTTTCTGGATATGCGTACTAAACGTAATTAAAAAAATGTAATACATTTATATCTATATTTGTTATTCCCACATTTTGTAATTATTACGTTTTTAAGAACTTTGATTGTAACGATAATTATGCTAGAGCTGGCCATAAAACTGAAATATTCATAGTCAATTCAAAATGTTTTGATAATTAAAATAAGACAACAACAATATTCTATTAATTAAAGGATTTTAATGATTTCAAATAATTTCATGTATTTGCTTTATCTCTTCAACAGTTTGATGAATATTTACGTTCTCTTTCGCTGTACGCAAACGACGTCGACTGCATTAAATTTATAACAGATGGTCAGCTTCCACTGCGCCAATGTCTGCATCGCGAGGCATGCGCCAAGGACATACGGCTGCCCAACTACTACAATCGCTTCTGTGATCTGCGCAAGGAATTTCTCAAATTCAAGTCTGGCGATTTGTCACGCGCTTTGGTCCCCGTGAAAGACATCAAAAAGATACTCCAAATACCGGCTGTTCCAGCGCCTCAAAGTATAGGAGAAATGATGAAAGGTAAGATATTTAATTTCAGTATTTAATAATAATAATTGAGGTAATGAAAAGCAAAATTATTTACTCAAAAAAACCGACTCATTTATGTGACATTTATTGAATTAATATCTGTATTTTTTTCAGAATTAAATATACCGAGCAGTGAAGAACAGGAATTTTACGTTAAAGAATCTCGTGACATGGTCTCAGTGATACAAGTTATGCTCAAAGGAGGTAAGTAAATTATTCAGTTTTCTCGTGTAATTTTTTTTTTATAATTTTACGCTTTTCTTTTAGGACATACATTTTTAGCAAATGAAGTTATTAATTTAGTTCTGGAACCTGGAATTTGGTAAATATACATTTATTAGTAAAAAAAACTCAAATATTTTATGCCACAAAATATTTAAATATATTTACAAATATATATTTATGCATATATATATGTATATTTATGTATATATTTTATATATATATATTTAAAGAATATAAAGATTAATACCGTAACACAAAGCGTTTGAGAAGTTCGTAGCTTAGAATGTATTAGTGGTTTCACTGGAGTTTAAATCTTACAAGAAAATTAGGGACTTTCATTGTTAAGCCGCCTCTGAGCGAGGACACTTTCCCCGTTGATTTCCCATTGATAATCGAAGTAGAATCCTTTGCGGAATATTAACTTTTCTAAATTGAAAAAAAAGTAGTAAGAAATATTTTCTTGGGATATGTCACTGTATTTATTTCATTTGCATGATTAGATTTTAATCATTACAAAAAATTAACTAAGGTGTATTATGAATCAGCTGGTTTAAATCTCACTTTGACTATATTCATGCCTAGAAACTTATTTTAATTTTTAACGGCTGGTTTGGAGAAGTAGACGAGCCTGATTTTTTTTTTGGTGGTAATAACTTTTCACAGTTTGTGGGCGAATATTTTTTAAGAAACGAGGTGTGAAAATTAAGTAATGATACAGATTCCATAAAAACCGTCTATTTCAAAATTATTCTACAACTCTGCCATCAACTCCAAAGTAGTCCGCTTGGATTCCAGCGCGTTTTCCATGCTTCGTAATATTTCTGGAACGCTTCGACTGGGATGTCCGCGAGTACCCTCGTCACAGCCGCCTGGATGTTCTCAATCGACTCAAAATTAGTTCCTTTGACCGAGACGACCTAGGCACGACCAAAAGCACTGCTTTTATAATTTTAGCATACTTTTCCGAAGCCGTTTCGCTCAATTTGGCGCGAAATTTTATCGCGAGGCGTTGCTCTTGAGTTCGTTTTTCCATTTTTGTGACGGGCATCATGAACACACGTTTACCCAACACGACACCGCAGGCGAACTAAACAAGCTAGAGCGATGGCAAATATATCGATGGAGCGGAGACGGATGCCGGGAGGGGAAAGGGTATTTCAAGGTCGCAGGATTATCACAATCACGGCAATATAATCAGTCTTATTATTTAATTGTCACACCTCGTTTTTTACCTGATTTGCTTTATGATTGTTTTCATATCACTCTGTGAAGTGTAATTGCTTTCAATTATATATAATTGTCGCTTTGTAACCGCTGAAGGGGCCGACAATTTATTCTAAGCCATCTCCAAACGGCTGATAGATTTTTCAGAGAAGTTTTTTTCATGCCAGAATACACTCGGAAGGGTTGACATTCCCTGCCGAGAGTCGACCGCAATTAAAAAAAATTAACTTCATTTTTTTTATTTAAATTAATTTTGTATAACATTTTTATGTTGGTCGTGTCACGATTTGAACCCTAGCTTTCCGAATGGTAGTATGCAATGCTAATAATTCGGCTACCGCTGCTTTCAATTCGCCTTGAGAAAATCACTTTCGGTTGTTGAATATCTTGTTTAATACTTTCAGATGGCTTCTTTAAATTGTAAATCACGGCCGATCGATTTCCATGAAAATATTTCTTGTTTTTATAATTTGTTGCTCATCACATCAAGTTTTTGTCCGTCAATGAGTTTGTTCGCAAGAACAAAAGGAATACAAAAAAAATTAAGGGAACAAGCAAGTGGTTTTGGATAAATGCAAAACCTTAGAAAAGTTCGGTTTTCTTAGCCGAAGTAATATCTCTTGGCGATTCTGTTGTAAAGTTTTTTATGTTACAATTGAAACAAATGTAAAAACTATTTGTACTACTATTGGGTCATTGCTTTCCATCATATAGCCGTATCTGCCTTCACTGCAGCCCGTTACACTATAATTAGAACAGAAAAGCGGAACTTTATTCGATCCTATGCAATCTCAATTACTGGCTGCCATATATCCTTTTTACTTTTTTTCGGCTGGCAGGTTCGTCAACCAAAATAAAGAAATTGCGTACATAATAATTTTTGCGGCATCAAATGAGCTGTTGTAAAAAAAATAGTACGATATAATAGGAATAGTGAGATTTTCTGAGTTCTTAACCTCTATGTAAAACCGGAAATACTACGTATCTATGCAGGAGAGAGATTAAATGGTTAGCTGATAGTTAATACTTATTTAGAGGCTTGGCCACTGAACTTAGTTTAGCTCATTTTTTTTTTTTTGTTAGCCTCGCTTCATTTCGGTGTCGATATTTCAAAAATTTTCGACGGAAACGATTAACGTGAAATTTATCGTCACTTCACTGGCGTAGACATCGCATACGCAATTATAGCCCAGTTAACAACATTGCGTCATTCGTTTCTTCTTTTTGGCGCCAATTGGAAATAACAAGAACAGTCAGGTCCTGCTCTACCTGATTTTTCCAACTAATTGGAGGTCTTCCTCTTCCTCTGCTGAATCGAATACTTTCAAAGTTGGAGTATCAGTATCCATTTGGACGACATGACCTACTTAGCGTAGCCGCTGCTTCCTGATACGCCGAACTACATATGCCAATGTCGCTGTATAACTCGCACAGCTCATTGTTCCATCGCCTGTGATATTCGCCGTTGCCAATGCGCAAAGGACCATAAATTTTACGCAAAACCTTTCTTTCGGAAACTCCTAACGCCGACCCATCAGATGTATAGCAGGACGGGAACCATGAGGGATTTGTAGAGCTGGGTTTTCGTTCGTTTTGAGAGGACTTTGCTTTTCAATTGCCTGCTCACTCCAAAGTAGCACATGTTGGCAAGAGTGATTCTGCGTTGGGTGTCAAGATCCTAAGACTTCAAAGTTATGACGTGGGAACCGAATACACGGCGCAGTTGTTGAAGCCAATAATATCAATAAATCATGGTTTTCTTATTCTCTGCCGAGAGGTGACCTCAATTAGAATAACTAATTCCGAATGGCAGTACGTAACACCAACAACACGGCTATTGCGGCCGCTTTATCAAATTGGCATATGTCTCATAGTCTAGCGAAATTTTCATTTAATGATCGGTATTCCAATCACTTCGTAATGGCATTGAAAATTTATCACTTTGTGTTTTTTGATAAAGAAAAATTAAAACTACTGTAAAAAATAATTCACATTCTATACGTATTATTCATGCCGAAATCTAAAACAAATTTCTTTCACTTGGTTTTTTATGTAAGAAACTTATTTAACAATTTTACTTTTCAAAATTCCATAACATTTTATAGAATAGTGGATTTTGTGTGTAGTTTTTCTCCATGGTTAAGGTCTTGGGCATCTTGTAAATCTAATCCGGGTTTTATAATTTTTTAATGAAGTTTTCTTTTGCTTTTTTAATTTTTATAAAGAATTTTTAAAAACCCAGTCAAGATCAATTTAGACAGTTCTTGAGTTCCAATTTAAGCCGTGTGCACCCTCTGTGTTCCTATTGTTATGGATCTGATTGTTCAAGTTGGAAACAAATGTGCACAATCGGAAGCTGCGCACAACTTACTTACATACAGATCACCGTCATATTTTACATTTCTTCCCGCTAATAATGAGCACTTTTTAAAGACACCACCATCGTTTGATCTTTCCTTTCTTTTAAAAACTTCTTTCTTTAGTATTTTTTGAAGTTAATTATTTGAATGTAATGGAATAGTAATTTCGTTGAAAGCAAACACACATACGAATTGTCGAGTCCAATGTGTATAGAAGAAGCCGTGATTTTGCTCAACTCAAACTGTCTTAAATGACTCAATTCATACTCGACGCTCAAGCATATACATATTTCTCCTAAGCTTCTTGCTGCATAACTTGAAATCGAAGTGTCCGAAAAATCAAAAGTAGTCACAGTTAGAATACAGCCGTGATAAGGTAAACGTGTTGCATACGCTCGTGTAAAAGTGATCCCAACGAACGATCTGATTTCGATTTATTAAACCATATATTTGTACAAACACTCGAAGGCTTATCCACTGATCCACGATCTCTGTACGTGCTATACGAGTACATCGCCATACGCATATTTACGTACGTTTTCAATGTGTTTCAACATGCACATTTCTTACTTGTAACATATTTATACATACATCTTTAAGTATGTGCATATACTTATGTATATTCTTTGCCTCGTCCGGATCGATCGTTATCGCCAGAAAAATGCAAATATATGTAAAACAAAAACAAAGAGTGAAACTGTAAATCAGATTATCAGATCAGAAGAAGTGAGGATTGTTAATAGAGTAAAAAAAAAAAATAATACTTGAAGAAGTGAAAAAGAAAATTAGAAAATAAAATTTCTTTTAAAAATTGTTTAGAGGCTTTTACGTGTTATTACTTCAATTTGAAGCCGAAAATTCTTTGCATGTATTTGCATACAATTTAATATATAATATGACGAACTTCATATACGATTATGGATTCCTATAACTGTTCACTTTAACAAATTAAAACTGCTTTGTTAAAAAATATTTTGCTGAAATCAGCGAAAACTATATGTATGAGTACCTTTTGAACGTATTGTGTTTCTTTTGTAAGCCCGAATGCATATTGTTAATGTACGTATGTATGTGAGCCACATATGTATATATGCTTGGTATAAATATATATAATATGTATATATATATGTATATATACATAGTAAATATGTATAACCCAATAAGAAGTATACATAAGCGCAGTCATTTGATTATTGTTCCATTCGCAAACTCTTTGGGAGTCATATGAAGCTACATCGAGCATACCAGCCACCACATTACATTCATCGATCCAAAGTCTCATTCTGTTGTTAATAACTTAATTTAATACCATAAGTCTTTACAGCCATTATTAAGCTAATTTTCTATACTTTCAGCTCAATCGACGACGAAATCGACGGTAATTGCATTGTACGAGCTCGCGGCTTACCTTGGCAGAGTAGCGATCAGGATATCGCTAAATTTTTTCGTGGTCTAAACGTTGCAAAGTAAGTTCCAAAATATCTCAACAGCATTGAGCAGAAGAGTTAAACTCAGAGAGCACGCCTATTGAACGGGATTTCTGTATGTACAGTAATCTCGAAGATGTTATCTCATCTTTCGCTCAACTTACTTTCAGTTGTATTGCAATTGTGTTATGAGTTAGATTTGAATGATAAAAAAGAGTCAGATTCTTCGAAAGCTCATCCATCTCTCCAATACCAATCTTCGTTCGGAGTTTAGAAATATGCATGATATATTGTATTTGATACTTGCCTTCTCTGTGTGTACATAAATATGTATGTTGGTCTATTTAAGTAGTATATGTACTGTATGTTAGAAATAGTGCCCTAACATATAGTGATAAGGGGCCAAAAGGTCTCTCTAAGCGATACAATTACATTTTTGTTTCCATTTATTTATAAAGCATTTATACATACACATACGTATATATATGATATTAAGATATTTGTTCATTTTTACTTAAATAAGATTTAAAATACTTCTCATTTCTGAATCACAGGGGTGGAGTTGCTCTGTGTCTATCCCCACTCGGCAGGCGTAACGGTGAAGCTCTAATACGCTTTGTTTCACAAGAGCATCGCGACATGGCTCTTAAACGTCACAAACATCACATTGGCAGTCGTTATATTGAGGTTTATCGTGCCACAGGCGAAGATTTTCTAGCCATTGCGGGCGGTGCTTCGAATGAGGCGCAGGCTTTCCTCTCCAAGGGTGCGCAAGTCATAATACGCATGCGTGGATTACCCTATGATTGTACAGCCAAACAAGTTGTAAGTATCCCGATATATGTACATATGTAAGGATTGTAATATTTTCAGCTTGTAATGAACAAATAGAAATTTCTCTTTTTAAAATTTTGAAAACTGTACTTGCACTTGGGAGTGTTTAACCTTGATACTACACATCACATTGGCTTCTTTATAGTATTTTACCTCTCATCGTTTTCCTCTAAATTTCCCAGCGATCAACAGAAATCGATTTCCCAGAGTCTTTCAATTCGTATAATATCCGTATTATGAAGTACGTCTACCGGCGGGTTCAAGAAATAAGTTATAAATGCTATACTTCGTCCAGAATTTTATATGCAGAATGAAGCTCTTTCACAATTTGGATACAACCGTTAGCTTTTTTTATATAATAATATTGTATGATATATTCCCTTTAACACCAGCAAAACCCAGTTCATCTCTTTTGCGATCCAAGAATAATCTTAGTTTTTTAAATTTTTTCGGACAAAATCACTTCTTGAAGAAGCTCCGAATTATCCATCATTATTAGAATACATAAATATAAGAAAAAGAAATTTCAATAAGTTTTTTGGATTAGCGAAAATAAATAAAGTATAAAGAATAAAGTCAATAGCAAACACAGGACTCCCAGAAAAGCAATGTTTTTTATCACTTTTTGCCTCGCTCTAATATTTTGTATTTAATTTATTAATTTACATAAGTCCGACGATTGCCAATTCATGCCAGTTATTTTAAGTTTTCGGCGCTCTGTAATTCTTTTCTTATGCTACACTATGTCCCTAATCGCTGCTACGATTCTACATTAAGAAGCAGCCTTTAATCAAGGCGTAACGATCGAAAGATTTTTCATCATAAATGAGTATTTTCATGGGAATGTTGGATATGTTGATTTTTTATGATTTAGAGGCAACTGCATTTAGAACTTTTGTTTGCTTATTTGAAGGCCGTTCGATTATATCTTCTTGCCATCTTTTATTGATTATAGCCAATAAACTTGAATATGGTTGAGTGATCATTGTCATTATGCTTTAATTGTTTTCAGTTGGACTTTTTCACTACCGGCGACGAGCCTTGCAACGTTCTTGATGGTGTTGAAGGAGTACTATTTGTTAAAAAGCCAGACGGACGTGCTACAGGCGATGCCTTTGTGCTATTCTCTAACGAGGCTGATGCGCCTAAAGCACTTTCGCGCCATCGTGAATCAATTGGACAACGATATATAGAACTATTCCGATCCACTACAGCCGAAGTGCAGCAAGTTTTAAATCGTTCAATGGATCCGAGAACATACGAAGCAAACCATCAGCCACCGCTGATAGCACAATTACCGGCAATGCCGTTGTCTCTGTTACCGCAGGTAAAGCCACATAGTGTCTTAAACTTTCTAAGACAAGGGTTAATATTTACTATCATAACACATCAAGAGTTTTTCTTTCTTATGTATTTTTTTCTTAACGACTTATGATATTTGTTTGTTTGGGTGAAATTCTAAAGTTTTGCTAGATTAAAAAAAAATATTTATATGTGAATGTTTAATCATAAATATTTGGGATATTTGCAGCATTTGATTACTTCAGGTACCACAAAGAACTGCATACGTCTGCGCGGCCTTCCTTACGAGGCGCTGGTCGAGCATATTCTTCATTTTCTGGACGATTTCGCAAAGCATATTATATACCAAGGAGTCCACATGGTTATTAATGCTCAAGTAATTAGCAATTTACTACTCTTTCTTACTACTGATTTATATTCTTAACGCAATAACTTCAATGAATAATGAATAATATTTATTAATTATTTACACTAGGGCCAGCCCAGTGGTGAAGCATTCATACAAATGGACTCAGAAGAGTCTGCGCGCTTGTGCGCGCTACGCAAGCATAACCAGTTTATGATGTTTGGAAAGAAATACCGTTACATCGAAGTATTTCAATGTTCTGGTGACGACATGAATATGGTCCTGAATGGAGGGCTGCAATCGCCAGTTTCCGTAACTACTCATCCTCATCATACAGCCGCAGCCAAATCCACATCGCTGCTCTCAACGGGTATGTTACCTCAACCGTCGCCGTCCAACGCACAATCAATTAGTTCCCATACGCATGCTCACGCCCATAATCACGGTCACACTCATGCTCACGTACACACTCATGGTCACAGTCCCCATATAACTCATGCGCAAGCGCATGCGCATGCATTACAATCATCTTCATCGATGGCAGCAGCAGTAGCTGCGTTGTCACAGCAACAGCACGTTGCATTGCCAGCAACTAATCCACAAACAGTGGCTGCTATTGCCGGTAGTTTATCACCCTTCATTAGTACTCCTGGGGGAGCACCGCCCACCTCTGCTCAACACCCAACTATCGTAGCACAAACGAACGCTGCTGCTGCCGCTGCGGCAGTCGCTGCTGCGGCTGCACAAAATGTAGTTCCCGTCAGTGCGGCATTGGGCACCCCGCAAACTTCAAATTTTCAAATCCCAACTAACCCCTCTACAGCTGTAAGCGCTCAAACGACGGCTATGAATGCATATCCATTTAATTTCTCGCTTCCACCTCCCCAACTAGCCATGACCACAAATCCGGCACTCATAGCTCAGCAACAGGCTCAATTTATTGCTCAACAAAATTTATTGGCACGCCAGCAAGCAGCTGCTGTGGCTGCTGAGCAGCAACATCAGCAACAGCAGCAACAGCTTTATGCAAAGGCCTTAATGAATCCATTGCTCTTCCAACATCCTAATGCGACCGTCGCAGCTAATGTAGCAGCAACTAATGTCACTGCTGCCGCCGCGGCAAACACCCAGCCGCAGTTTGTACTTATGCCACAACCCTTCTCCTTTCAACCGTTTCCGATCAGTTATTTTCCCCAAGGCTATCCATACGCATCGGCTGCGACCGGTATAAGTGGCGCAGCCACGACCGGCAGTGCTGCGACTGCTGGAGTCTTGCCAAATACTACAATGACGGCAGCCACAGCCATGCCACATTCTATGAAACGATCGTATGAAAATGCCTTTCAACACGAGGCCAACATTGCGACTGCCGCTAAGCGTGCACTGACTCGCCCACCAAATTCAGGTGGAGTATACCAGTACTACAATCCAGGAGCTTAAAAGGAATATTTTAGGATTAGTGATCCTAAATTTGAATGTTTGCTCTGGGCTTAAGTTTAAAAGCTTAATGTTATTCTTCTCCATTTTTTATTTAAATATACCAGTTCTTTTGCTGCTTGGCAGACCGTTATACTTCCATAAATATAAACGTTTATATATTTTCGACAAATTTTGTCGCTAAAATTTGAGCCCCTACCTCTCTAACCCCCTACCTGCGCCTATTGCGTAGTTAACTGTAATGACCGTGGAATTTCTTAAAATACTGGGCATTAAACGGTATGATTGCAATATGACACATTCCATTAAAAAAACTATATACATTGTTTTATATAAAAAATATATCTATGTAGTATACTATATTTTATATACATACGATTTCATAGTCACATACATATATGACACGATTTATCCACTACAAGACATAAATATTGTACTATACTACTTAACTAATAAGAGCTTCTTGTTCATAGAATTAAGATAGTTATTGTGTTACACGACTATTACTGATTTTAAATTGAAATAGTAGATACAAAATTTGAAAATGATGAATACAAATTACACTTGATGTGTACATACTCCTATGTACTCTGGGGAATCTATGTAATAGTGTGTATATTAAGAAATGAACGGAGTAAAAGTCGCTCTCAAGTCTTTCTCGGCATCTCAATATCTATAAATTAATACTATTATGATTAACGTATAAATTTCCTCATTCCATTTAAGAGTTTAACACAGCATTTAAAAGACAAACAAGGCGAAACGACTTGGGAAGCTGAAAGAGGCTAGCAATATTTGTTAACGAAGTGCTGAACTATTGTCCCCTCTAAGGCCGCGCTTTCTATACTTTCTATAGATACATACATACTCGTACATGTACGCAAGTACGCTTAATAATATTATATTAGTAGTAATAGAAATAATGGAAATTTCGTGCAATTTTTCGACTTTGTGTTTAACTTTTTACTGGAATCCTTTTTCGCCGAAAGAGGGGGAATCTGTTTGGAACACTTCGTAAGAGAATATTGCAAGGTGTTGGATTTCAATTTGCCTTGAACACAAAATGTTTTACTATCAAAATAATTCACAAATGAACTGGGCTTTTTATACCTTACGCTATTTATATGTTTTTACTTTCATAAATCAGAATTAAAACTCGATTAAGCGGCTTTTATATTTGATATAGACTTAAGATGATTAATATTTGGACATTTTTTTTATCGAAAAAATATACTTAAAAGTGAGCTTAGCACTTGTACATGAATGTGTATGATAATGCAAGTGATTTCTGAAATCATTTTGTACGAAAAACATTTAATACTAAATATTATATGTTCTACTAATTTTACGTGGCAATACATATACATAAACATATATAACGCTTCTTGGACACTGAAACACTGAAGTGCTTTCACACAAATATTAACGAGCATCAATCACGTGGTTTTGTCTCCGAGAAGTTATATATTTAAAATAAAAGATATATTTAAGGCTAAAACTCTATATTTATTAAACTATTTAAAACATATTTCATTATTATAGTAAGTTGCAATTGAAACCCTTTCCTTTTCTGTTGTCATAAAGTCTATTCTTCCAAACTTAATTTTATTTCCTGAGCAATATTTGTTGTACCTTTTTTATCTATATATGTATAGATTCTAAAATTCGTCGTTTTTTCATATGTTAAGTATGCTTAAACTGCTAAGTTGTGGGCTTAAAATAGTTTACAAGAACTTTTTATCGAAAACTAATTATTAGTTCATCAGTGTATGTGCGTATCTGGTGTTAGTTGCAAGCCGATTTATGTTCTCTATCATTACTAATTTTTTCCATTTGTTTAGGTGAAGTCAAACTTTAACCAAACTGTGCCGTACACACCCCGTAAAAAGAATAATAAACAAAAAAAAAAAAAAATAAAAAGAAAAAAAAGATATTAAAAGAGTGTTGAATATTTAAATTAAATTCTACAACCTTTAAAGTTCAGCCAAAAGGACGTAAAATTAAAAAAAAATATTAAATTCCATATTAACCGAATCCAACCCAACCCAGTGGTTGCGTCTGGATGGTAATAAAAAAAAAAATAATAGTAATTGCAATATATTAATTGCTAGATTATCGCTGGTCTGACCTTTTGCTCACTTATAACATATCTCCTCCGGATAATTTCTGTTTTTCGGCCATGAATTGTAAACTCCTAATAAAAATCCATCAACCATACGCAGACGTTTTAAAATTGCACGCCTTGAATGAATTCTAAAAAAAAAAAAAACTAAATACAATAGAATCAAGTTCATTTACTAAGTTGTGACTAAACGTTATTTTACAATCACTGCACAGAATCCTCAGGATAGATCTAGGCTACACAGCACTCAACCCCTAGCTAAAATAATTAAATTTTGTTCCAAACATTTAGTTTCAGCTTATACAGTTTCTATCTTTTTTTAATGAATGACTGCATATTTTTTAAATCGTTTCTCTTTATTTTTGCTTAACGTCAAAAATTATATTTATTCGAATACAATTAAAATATATCAATATATCAAGGGGAATTAACAGATCCATTATTTAATAATGCTATTTTTATTTAATGTACGATAATAAAATCTTTGCCTTACGAATTTTTGCGCGCATAGCTTGGACGTTTTCCTAATATAGTGTAATATTCTCATTCAACTCAGTAAAATGTAAGCAAATATTGATAAAATACGAAAATGAAAAATATCAGTATATTTTGAGATGAATTAATTGGTTAATCTGATTGTTTATATAAGAGAAATATAATTAAATTATTGCTTTTGTAGCATTTTTCTGAGGATGTGAAGATATATGAAATGTAACATGAACAATCACTGCGGTTCTGCATAAAGGAGCTGAATTATAGAATTAGATGATGAAAGTTTATTGGTCTGCGCACTGGCGGCATGGTTTGATAGATTTTGATATTTGTGAGAGAGAAACTCAATTTTATACTCTCCGCACCAGGTCATTCCTGTGGCCCAACATACATACGTGTTAGTTAGTTAATTTTGTTTCTAACTAACTAACGTGTTTTACCTTCAATTTGTTGATCGCTTTATGATTTTCAAATAATTATATTCAAAAATCTGATGGATATTTGTGTAAATATGAATTGGCTAAATAACTTTCGGGTCAATACATGCATGCTACAATACTATCTTATGCGAATCTTATTAGATTTAAAATTTAATGAAATGGAAAGTTTAACTGAAATAATTATAAACGATTGTGCGCTTACAACGGACTCGGAACATACCTGTTTGAATAATTTATGTCTAGAATATGGTTCTTAAGCTTAGCTTTTTTCTCAAAGGTTTATTTTCGCGCTAGAAAAAATAGATTTTTTAGATTATTTTTTTACAAGGAAATGCTTTCAATTTTTATATATACATGCATATGTACGAGTATACTCGTATATGTACATACTCGCATATATGTATGCATATTCATATATATATACTTATGAAAGTACATGCATACATAGTTCTATAATTGCACCAGTTTTTAATAATAATAGTAATAAAAAATATTATTGATTATTAATAATAATATTTCGTTAGTTTACCATACTTACATATATGTATTGTACTTATATCTAAAACATTTTTATATACTTTCCTATTTACATACGTGTGTCTTAAGTTTGTACCAGTCGAAAAGTAAATGCTAGGAAATTGGGTTTTGGTTTAATGTATGGTGATTATTTTTGTACAATATATTCAGTTACTCATATTGGCATAGACACATGCATATATACATACATACATATGTATTAGTGTGTAACATAAACTATATTTTCAATCCGTTTCTAATTATCGGCTTATATAATAAATGCATACATTACATTCGAATAAACCTCAATATGAGCGCGGAAAAATTTGCTTTGATTGAAAATTTAGTGAAAATATCTCCTAATTTGTTCATACACGCATTCACTATTTACTCGTATAATTTTGAAATGGTGAGCTTGGAATTCATAATCGTGTCATGATTTGTCCGCAAACAGCATCATAAATAACTCAATTAACAACACCAGCTCCTAAGCAAGAATAAAATAAAAATTTCAAAATCCTTCGATAAATACGTACATTCAATCAAAGCCTAAATTGCTGGCCACGAAGTAATTGAACCGCCATCCAATTACTTCATTACCACAATTATGACTCGCTTGTGAATAAGACTACTAATTTGGTTGGCGGAAATGTTATGAAGAATTACGAACTTTTAAGTATGGATAAATAATAGTAATTTTTGATATTATCTTGCTCACTTATATAAATGAACTTTTAATAATATAATAAAATAAAATATTTTCTGAAATTGCAATGTTTTATATCAATTCTGGACTTTTATGTATTTTTTTTTTTGTTACTTTTTAAACACTAACGTTTTCTACATTAACGACATTAAATACAATACGTACAAGAAAACATACTTAGTTGCACGCGTTGAAGGAAAAACTTTGAAAGTTTTATAGAACTTCATTGACGAACATAAAATGGACGTAAAGTGAAACTGTTGGTGCCGATGAATGGTTACTCATACATACTATATATTTGGTTAAAATTTAGTGCATTTGTTTCCATTTATATATTTTTATTTTATTTTTGAATCTCACTAAAAATATACTTCTTTTATTTAACGGGTTGTTGCTAAATATAGAAACGCTTTAACTTTTCTCTCAGTGTAATGTAACGTCCAACACACTGAATCTAATACCAGTTATGGGAGTGTACTCGTATTTACGTTTATTAGCTGGGTATGGCTTTTTGTTGCAGCAAACAAGGCGTCTAGCGTCTAGCGTCTAGCGCATTTATTTCCTACATCTAAACAAAATAAAAAAATCATAAATATATAAATAAAATATAAAAAAAAAAAATAAAACAAAAAAGTAACACTGGAAAACAAAAGAAAAAAAAACAAAAAAAAAAATAATATTGTATGTCTTCTCTCTCTGTGTGTGTGTAATTTGCTGATGGTGATGTAACGGTGATGTAACGGTAATGTTATATATAACACATCTGAGCTGTAAGTACATACCTTTATATACGTATTTGGGATCACTTGTATTTTAAGCTGCAATTTCTGCACATAAAAACATACTTAAGTATGTAATAACTTTATATAATACTATTCATTTACATGCAAACATATCTCTTAATACTATTTAATTATATTTACTGTGCTGTATTATTGTCTGTCTATGTCGTTTAAGTGCAAGTAATTAATCTATAAAAATGTAGGTTTCATTTTACAAACAAATAAACAAAGTTTCGTTGAACTATTTACATACCTAAATACATATGATACATATGTATGTATATATGAATGTATGTATAAATGTGTGCATGTATGTTGGCTTTTTAATTTGGGTACCATCTAAATTATTACTATATTACCTAAAATGAAACCTACATAAAACAGCTGTTGTACAATACATACTAACAAACATAAATATGTGTGGATAGGGACAATGGAATGAAAGCAAAACTCATAGGTTATTCAATTATTCCGTGAGTGGTAAAATATTACTTAAAGGTTTGGTCATACTTTTATGTACTTTCATATGTACTTAGGACATATTTAGTTTTTCTAGTATATTTGTGAGAAATGGAAGGCGAGATAGCAAAAAAATGTACAAAATTCAGCTTTTTTATTTATAAATTTCTCTATATGAGCGATTCGAAATACCATAACTGTTTGATATGTCGTGGCATGCCCATCGATTTGAAAAGGGATTAACTTTCTAACAATGCCCTGAGAGCTTATAGTAACAAAAAATTACGTATATATTACAAAATACAACTAAAAGATAACATTAAAAAAATCAGAATGAATCAGTGGTTGTTAAAAAATGAAGGCGATGCAATATCTTGCTTCGTAATTACAAATAAAAAGAAATATATTAGTGTCCTTTTCGAGCACATTGCGAAAACTGAATCTTAGTTAAACGTTCCCTTTCGTTATATTTATAAAAATCTATAAGATTTTTTGAATCTTCCTTCTGAACTGCGGAAGTAAATAGACGACTCGGCAGATATATCCTTTACGCTTTCCAACCATTACAATATATCTTTTGCTCCTTGGATTTATTCTAAGCAGACAATTATATCTTTTAAATTGTATGAGATCAATTTCAAATGTAATAAATAGACAGATAGATATACTCATAAGTTAGTTACCGTTGTTTCGATGGCTTATGAAAATTCATTGATAATTTCAAAATATCGGTCGATTATATAAAATTGGTGCTTTGTAACCGCTTTCGGCCGAGCTCCTCCTTCAAATTGTGGTTTTGCGTCGTGATGTTTTTCCAAAAAATGTTTTTTTATTTCATGTCAGAAATAAACACGGAGACATTGATATTCCCTGCCTAGAGTCGACGGCAATAAGAAGCTTTAACTCAATTTTAATTTTTTTATTTTTTTTGTATGTTGACCGTACCAGGCTTTAAACCTGAGCCTTTCGAATGGCAGTACGTAATGGTAACCACTCGGTCACTGAGGCCGCCATCGATCTCACCGTCGTTGGGTGTACTATAAAAATTCACCTAATTATCGATACCCAGATATTAATAGTAGTAGTAGGGACCATCAGCTACTATTTATCTGAGTTCCGTTCAGTTTTTTTTTTCATTTAAATTTAATTTTTCTTTTTTATATTAAGAATTTGGTTCTAAGCCTAAGTTAAGCGTTAGTAAGTAAATTGTCAAAAGTTTTGTAAAGGTATAATAAGAAGAAGAAGTTGAATCAATTTAACTGTTTAATTCTTCGATACTTCATATATATATATATATATATATATACGAAATTTTTTATTCGGATTTCGAAGCTTAACTTCTTCAATTAAAAAGCAGTTCGGAGGAAGCTTAGAATAAACTGTAGGGCCCTCCATTTGTTAGGAAAACATCAAGTCGCATTCCATAAATTGGCCGAAAATCGCTTTAGCGATTACAAAACCCCAATTAACTATATAAATATGCATACTTTTTTAAGCCAATTGAAAACAATCAATTTGAAGTTTGTGTAGCAATAACTTCATTTTAAAATTGGTTCTTACATTAGATGTTCTGAAAACATTGACTGAGTTATGTAGTGATGTATTTCGAAAAATGTAAGCCCAAAAGTTAGCGGAGAATATAATATATTAGAAACCATTTGCTTCTGTTCCATGCAAAATCATTCTACTGCTCCATTCAGTTAAAGATAGGAAAGAAGCTGCAGTAGATAATTTATTACACAAACCTCTATCTTCAAAATATAATTTTGACTACTAAATTTATAGTTGAATTCAGTTATTTTTTGAAATGCTTGTTTTAGTTTAAAAATATAAAATAAAGTTTAAGTAAATTAAAATATCAAACGAAAAGAACACTGCTGAGTACAGACTTTTTTCTGACATTTTCAGGAGCAAGTACAATAAATCAAATTACAAATCCCGAATTACCGAATATGTTTACGAACCACTTTGTTCATTAAAATATTTTATTGTTTTTTAATTATAAAATTATTGGAAGGTATAAATTAATGCCAAAAGTTTCTTAGTTGATTTTTTAGACTGTCAGATCTACAAATTCCATTGTCCATCATATAGATTAATATTATATATGGTTAGGAGTTTAGGAGCAAATATTTCGCTGGATATGATGTCCCATCTTGCACCATCTCATAAACTTCTTGCCCAAAATATTGTCTTCTTCTATGAAACCTTGGCAGTGCCGTACAATCAAGATTACTGAATTGTAACTAATAATTTAATTGGTTTGCTAAAATCTATTTCCTTCTAACATCCAAATTGGTTATAAAATAATTATATTAATTTAGTAATGTAAATTTCATGACAAGTAAAAGTAGTCAATTAAGCTTTTTTAAGTTTGAAAATCAATACTGTTCTCCAAAAATAACAATTCATTTGTATGATGGCTTCAAACACTTGTTCTATCTATTTAGGTGTGCCTGTGTTGGGAACACCATTTGGACCATTTTCGCCTTTTGGAACACCAACACCATTACTAGCGTCGACTCATTCACATTCACGTTCCCCACATCATCCGCGTAGCCCGTTGTCGCATCATCATCCCCAACATCCAGGGACGCAAGCAGCTTTTTTCCCACCTCCATTTCTATACTGGTCATATCCTAGCCCGCCAGTATCACCGACTGCATATTACGGTCAACCACCGACGCATACCACAACAACATTGGCTGGAAACCTTACAGCCACGCCACATCAAGCTATGGTATGATGATGATTCTTGCGATTATTGGAAAATTTAATAAAAGCCACTAATATCTTGTGTTTTCTCTTTATTTCAGTACTCTCTAGACTTTTTGCCAGCGGTGCCGCCATCAGCCATTAGTCCGCCAAGCGTAGCAATACCCTCGCCAAGTTCTTATATTCCACCTAAGCAATATTCAGCTCAACCGGCGCCAGTTGTTTCTAATCCGGTTAGTGCGGCTACAGGTGGTAGTGGGACAGGCCGAAGTGGTGCTAGTGGTTTGTCGCCATACCATAACAAAATGTCCCTGTCACTGCCAGTGTCTCAACAACCGACCACAAATATATACCACTATAACGGTCCAACAACAGTGAGTGGCTCTGCACAGCCGGCTTTACTATCCTTGCCCCCTACAGCCGCGAATGGATCTATTCAATTAGCCCGATCGCCGATATTGGGTGCTCCAACCGCGATTGCGACGGGCTTAACTGTACCTAAAACAACACCGCTCACTGTTGATACAAACCAACATGAAACACGAGTAACTGTCTCAAAAACGACACCATCAGCTAACAAACCAACTAATAAAATTCCTTTTAGTCGAGATGTAAGCGCTGGTAAAGTGGGAGTGGTGCCTAACTCTTGTATGGAGCTTTATATTGCTTAGAACTTTATTGCACATACAAGTCTACATATGTATATGGTTATACGCGAAAAGAGAATTTATACATTTGTATATGTATGTGTGTATGTGCTGTTGAAGAAAGGAGATTTACTAAGCATAAGCAAAAGAACATATTTATTATTATTATTTTAATCACTAGAAAATTGATAATTCTTGCCAATTTATCTAAATTTATAATTACAAGAAAAATGTACAAATAACAGAGAGCAGGTGCAACTCGCCACAAAACCAAGCTTCCGTTAATTGCCTTTTCCCAAAGCACCAATTAGACTTATCATTTATAAGTTTGCAAGTATGTGTGAGCTTTTGCAACTTAAATGCTGATTGAATCAATCACATTTAAAGAAATCTCGAATTTTAGTAAAATTAGACTTACATAAATATGATATAATAAAATTTATGTTTATCACACCAAATTACTTACGATTTTAAACCAGCTTTAAGCACATATTGATCTTACGTTCGATGTATTAGATGAAATACTGAAACAAATATGCCTCTAATTCATGTCCTAAAGGCAATGCGGTAGTTGTAATTCTTTAGAATGTAAGTACCCGGTTTAAATGAGAGAAGTATTGGGTCTATGACTAAAAAGAGCAAAAGCTCGAAAAGCTTTGTAAAGTACGCCCCTAGAAATAGGTAATGCCAAAAATTTACTACTTGGAAAAATACAAATAAATTTTGTATAGTTTGCGAAGCGCAAAAGACTGCTCAATGCGAGCTTTTACATTTTTCTTGTCATAATAATTTTAATCGTGGCTTGAGCTGTGGTTCAAAGCTCGAAAGCTCCAGGCGAACATTCGGACAACAGAGCATCGAAATAGTATTTAACCAGTATCTGGCTACTACTCAGCTATCTTGTAGGGCTTAAAGCATTCAATTTTTTGAATGCGTAATGAATCAGTTTTCATATTATTGAAATGTTCGATAACTTTTTTTTTGTGATAATCAATCAGTTCTGCGTAAAATGTTGAGGTCCACAACTAGCTTTTGATCAATCCGACCTGATCCTAAGCAGGTAGATTCTGTCACTATTTGGGCATATCAATAACTACAAGAAAAAAATGAATGCAGGTATTAAAGTGATTCGCAGGAATTGACAGAAAGAAAAAATAAATTATTGAAACTCGAACTGAGGTAAATGTCCAAATACTTTTATAAGACATAGACCGGGTACTTACTGTGTCGAAATTATTATTCGCATGTGTCAAGAAAGAATATAAAAATATTTATTTAAGAAACACCAGTGTGCAATAAAATATGATAAATATGTACTTACTATTGTTTAAATATTTATATAAGGAAACGCAAATATTTTAAAAAAGCTCTGCAAATATTGTTAGAGCGAAAAAGAAAAGAGTTTCTATTCATAATACTATATTTCGCAAAAATGTTCCAACCCATAAGTTGGTTGATAATCAGTCAGAAATAATTAACGCAACAAATTTTAACTAGTCAATAGCAAAAATATTATATTATTTTCGTTCTATTTATATCATTATTTGTTTCAAACAACCAAAAAAGAAAGTTGTGAAGAAAAATTTGACCTTTTCAGGCTGCAGTGCAGTCTTTTACTTTCTCAAAAAGCAATACAATCATATGTATGCCTACATACAAATAAATTTGTATATTCTTATCTTTATATTCATTTTTAGTTTTAAGTTATTGTTATATATGAGTTGCTTAGATATATAAAGCTTAGAAAGCAAAATTTAGACAGAATATGTAACTTTTTGAAAGCAAACCGAGCAATAAACCACAAAAAAAAACCAACGTTTAACTGCCTTTGATATGAACTGGTTCCGAATATCCAATAACTTATTTCCTTTTTAATTCGGTATAGGTGTCTCAAAGGGCTTTGTATGAGTTAGCTTATTAAATGAATAGAAGAAATATCAGATAGATATGTGTGATATGTCCAGGCCGTCTTTAAACTACTGCCGTTTGCCGCAGTATAGGTGGTATGATTTTCTAAAAACCAAATCCAGATTAATTTTCCAGAGTGAAAAGCAGAAGATTGTAATACAAAAATAATCAAATGACTTTAATATTCTGTTTAAAAAGAACTCTGAATTTAAGATATGTAAAGAAATATTTTTCTAGTTCTTTTTTATGGTACTGAAATATTCGATATTTAGTCTCATTCGTATCGTAATTTGTGTGGCTTCCACTACCACTAGCTACACTAGTACTAATACATATCACAAATGAAAGCAGGTCTACCTCACTAAATGCTTTAAAATAAGCCACTATTTGCTGAATAACAACCAAAACTATATGTTTCTACACACAATCATCAGGAAAAGCAAAGTCTATGAAATTTGTAGAAAAAATACCCGAAACTGGGCAATATCAAAAGCGATTATTATACATCAAAATCTCAAACCTTTTTGATATGCGTCGAAAATTAAATGAGCTCAATTGTAAACTGATGTCACAACAACAACCTACGCTCCGATATATCACCATCAGCCACAAAACAAAATATGAATATCCATATATCACTGAATTCAGAACATACAGTTTGTGAAAAGACACTTTACGCACTGAAAAAACTATTTTTTGACGTGAAAAAACCATATTTAATGTATTCTTTTTTGATGATAAATGATTTCACAATATCTATTAAATTAATTTCATTAAAAAAGTTTACTAATTGAAAAATTATGGCGGGCCATATTCCGCTGGAATTTTGTGCCACTCTTCCAGTATGTCAGATTTTTGGGCTGCTTTATATGGTTGGTTATGTTGTACTAGATTCCAGCACAAAAGAATACATCAAGCTACTTGGCTGTCCCCTAATCGAAAACCACAAAACCAGATCGATCATGTTGTGATAGACGGAAGACATGTCTCCACGCATGCGTCTCTGTGTATCGAAGAACGCCCGTCAACAAACACAAGGAAAGTTCGACGTTGAAAAGTTGCAATCACAACAGACTGCCGAGCAATTTTCTACTCGACTTGCACTCCTGCGGACCTGTGGGACGGCATCGCATACTCCCTACCTGCAGCTGCAAACGAAACTATTGGATTTCGTAAAGGTCGCAAAAACAGCTGGTACGATGAGGACTGCAGTGGAGAGAAAACAGACTGCCTACCTCGCAACGTTGCGATCGACCACAACAGGTGTGGGATGAGACAGATACCGAGAGATAAAGATGGAAGCAAGACGCATCTACAGACAAAATATTAAGAGGCCGAGATGCGCGAGTAAGAAGAGATTAAGAAGCTGGCCGACAAGGGTAAAGATGGAGAGTTTCAAGAAAAGATACGATCGCTTACAGATGGTTTCAAGACCAGAACAGACTCTTGTAGGACACAAAGAGGTGACCTAGGAACGGATGCCAAGAGTATATTTAATTTATGGAAATCAAACACCCGGAGATGGTGAACCCGAAATTCCAATCAATGACAATGAACAAAGCGTTGCCCAGCCCGACTACAAAGATGCCGGCACTGACGGCCTACTGGCAAAGCTATTCAAACATGGCTGTGAAGAGTTGACAAGGACGAACGCATGCCCGACGAGTGGAATTTAAGTGTGCTCTGCAAAATCCATAAAGGGGATCCCACAGTCTGTGCCAACTACCGTGGGATAAGCCTCCTTAATATCGCCTATAAGGTCCTATCGAGCGTATTGTGTGAAAGACTTAGGCCCACCGTCAACAAACTGATTGGACCTGATCAGTGCGGCTTCTGACCTGGCAAGTGAACCATTGAACAGATATTTACCATGAGCCAATTCTTGGAAAAGACCGTGAAAAGAGGATCGACACTCACCATCTTTTCGTCGACTTTAAAGCCGCCTACGACAGCATGAATAGGAGCTGACATTACGCCGCTATGTCAGAATTTGGTAGCCCCGCAAAGCTAAAACGGCTGTGTAAGCTGACGATAGACAACACCAACAGCACAGTCAGAATTGGGAAGGACCTCTCCGAGCCGTTTGGTACTAATCGAGGTTCCAGACACGGTTGACTCTTTATCGGGTGACTTCTTTAAATTATCGCTGGAGAAAATAATAATAGCTGCAGAGCTAAATAAAGAAAGTAAAACCTTTTATACGAGTGTATAGCTGCTGGTGTGCGCCGATCATATTTACATTATTAAGCGCAAAAACCGCGCCGTTAGTTCTGATTTCTCCAGGCTTGTTAAAGAAGCGAAGGGAACGGGTCTGGCAATGATCGAGGACAGGGCAAAATATCTCCTGTTTTCAAACAAACAGTTGTCGCATTCGCGACTCGGCTCCCACGTCACTGTTGGCAGTCATAACATTGAAGTCGTAGACAATTTCGTCTATCTTGCAACCAGCATTAACACTAATAATAACGTCGGCCTTGAAATCCAAGGCAGAATCACTATTGCCAACAGGTGCTACGTTGCTTCAGAGTAGACAATTGAAAAGTACAGTCCACTGCCGACGAACGAAAACCAAACTACACAAGACCCACATCGTTCCCGTCCTTCTATATGGTGCGGAGGCATGGACGATGAAAACATCTGATGAGTCACTGTTCGAGTTATACGGCGACATTGATATAGTTCAGCGAATCAAGAAGCTGGCTAGGTCATGTGGTCGGGATGGCTACGAATGCTCCAGCTTTGAAAGTATTCGATGCAGTACCCGCCGCCGGAAGCAGAGGAAGAGGAAGTCCTCGTAGGAAATATCAGGTGGAGAAGGTCCTGGCTGTAGCTGATATTTCCAATGGTAGCCATACAACAATAAGAAAGAAACGAACGGCGCAATGTTGTTAAGCGGTGTTTACGCCAGTAAAGTATTTGTGCCCGACATAGATAATATTTTCTGTAAATGCTAAGTTTCCCAAATCCTTGACTGCAGCCCCAAAAAGTAAGCGACAGGTTGCCAAATTTTATAGCCGGAATGATGTTTTGCGGTTCGTGTGCAGAATGACTTGGAGTATAGTTTCGTGTAAAATTTCAGAGTCACATACTTCCTTTAGCTCCTGAGCAAGAACTCTCACCAATATTTGAGGATATCGGTCAACTTTTCGCATGATTATGCGGTCCGACAGCTCATCAATTCTTCGCTTTTTTCATTAAGCCTCCTCTCGTCGTTATAAATGGTTTTCCTTGATAGAGAAAACACCGATTTGTCCAATGAGTGGTTGTAGTGAATCAATTGATTGACTTGAAATAACGTAAAGTCAAGGAAATATTTTTTTTCAGTATGCAAAGTGTTTCTTGATATACAGTACATATAATGTGTATGTATATTGTAATCCAATGGAAGGTTATCTAAGTAAAATTACAGTGAGATATTATATAAAAAGAATAATGCTTGTCTGTCAAAATTGAATTTAGAAAATTGAGTCACATTTTGCTTAAAAAGTTACTGTTAGGCGCCTAATGTAGAGTAATTGTGAATTATCTCGCCAAGATGATGAGCAGCAATAAGAATATTCAGCAGACGCAACATTTTTTAATACGTAATTAAATTATTAACCGAATCTGTTTACATCACCTAAACCTAACAGTAAGTACGAGTATTCTCAAAACTAAACGTTTCAGCTCGCGTTAACTCAGAGCGTTCTCATTAGCAGACCGCAGTATCTGCTC